TGCTGGGCTGCGTCGCGATGACGTCTGACCGGGCCCGGCGCCATGGCCAAAACCGGCCCCGTCCAAGAGCTTGGAATATGTTTGAATAGCTTTGTATAACTTTCAATAATAAAGATCCCCATTGGTACGACAAACATATTCAAACCAATTCAGATATCCAAATATATCCTAACCTATTCAAGCTAGACGTTTTGGGATCTCGGCTGGGATTCGGGACTGGCCCTGGGCCGAGATGCGCGCCGACTGACCGACCGGCCCCCCTCGGGTGACCGATGCAAGCTGCAGGGTGCGACGCGCGTGCGTTGCTGTCGATCGCAGGGGGCGGGCCCAAACATGGTGCGCTCAGATGCGAGCGTAATCGCGCGATGCCGGTGCCGACGCGAGGTCGAGCTCATTCCGCGAGACACATCACCCGACCGCGCCAAAGGTCACTCTGGCGAAGGGTCACTCTCACGCGTTGTCGAGAAGACGCGATGACGCTGGCGCCGGGCCGTCCAGTCAGACGTCGAGCGCGTCCGGTGAACGTGACCAGCCTCACTAAAGCTCGCCTCGCGACGCTCGTGCGTTCTCCGCGGGTCGCGGGGGCGGGAGTGGTTTGCGCGCGCGGCTTGTCAACAAGTTGTTGAAGGAAGGTGTCATCAGACAGTTGCAGGAAAAAGTCAGGCGAGGCTGTAGGCGTCAGCGCGCGTCTCTGCCGCGACGCGGTGGAGTCGCGGCTGCTTTCTAGCAGGTTCAGGGCCTACGAGAAAGGCTGCATTCGGGGCCTTAGCTGCGGGGCGCCGTGGGCCCGGGGTCGCGAGATCCAGCTGGTATATCAAGGGTCTGATCTCTGCCAGTTGTGTCTAGGAGCTTCTGGTGGCATCGTGCGCGGATGATGGGCATGCCCTGCCTGCCGGGATGCTAGGGGCGAGCTCGTGTATCCGTCGACCCTGGAGGCCGCCAGATCACGTGGCGTGAGTGATCCTGCTAAGGCTCAAATGTTCTCTAAGGGTCTGCTTCCGCAACCAAGCGATTCGCGGCCCCGCCCGCGCTGGTCGGGGGGGGGTCACCTGGGGCGGCGCGCCAGAGAGGGAGGGGGCGGAATTCCCATGCGATATCTTCATGGACGGCAGTTAGCAGAATCGCATTGGTCGAGAGCCCCCCCGAGCAAGTTGAGGGTTTGCAGCCCGCGGGGACAACTGGGATAGGGTGTTTTCGATTCATGGGCCTCTTTGTGCCCCCCCCATGCAGGCCAGCCGCGGGGGAGAGCGTGCTGCTCGCAAAGCCTCTTCGCGCTGTCTCGTGGGCCCCGCTAAGTCATTGTGTCAAGTTTTCGCATGGGGGGCCCTGTAGGGGGGCTTATGTTTTTTTCCTTCTCCCCCCTGTGGCCCCCCCTCCTCCAGAAGGCCAGGTCGCGCGTTAAATAACCCGGGATTCAGGCGCCCCAAGAGGCATATTGTAAGTCTGGCCATGGCGGAGCGGACGCAGCAACTAAGACAGGCATTGCACGGTGCCCCCGACCTTCGGGAACTGAGCAGAATAATTTGTTTGTCCATTTTCAAGTTATCAACGAGGGTTTGTGTCCTCGCTGCCAGCTTGCTGCCTGTCGGACCGCGTCTCGACCTGAGTGGTGTTGAGCTGAAGAGAGCTGTTGCTGAACGCATGGCCAAGGTTGGCGAGACCTGATCTGTGCATGACAGGGAATGGTGCCATTCCTACTGGGGATGTGAAGTTTGCCTGGGGATTAAGCGACAGTCTGGTGATTAGCTTGGGGAATACCCTATGCCAAGCGACCGGGGTTGTCCAGGTGTGGCCCCTTCCTGTCGTAATAACGTAGTGGCGCTCGGCCACAGGCTTATCTCGTTCCAGTGCAATGTTGACTCTGTCCTCTTTATGTGTGTGTGTGTGTCAGGTGCAAGGCTGTATCGTCTTGGGTTCTCCAGCGCTCCTGAGCAAATAGTGTGCGCGACCCACTCGCAATACTCTGGAGAGGTGGCAATCTCGCGTGTGCAAGGGTCATCACCCTAAGCTCGATAAGGTTTTCCTGGAGGTGGCCCCTCAGTATGACCCCTTGGATACCTGTGATGCGTCAGTGTATGAGGCCCCGCCCGTGGTTCCTGGGGCCTCTTCTGTTCAGGCCTCACCACTGGGATCGGGAGATTTGCCAAGGCATGCCCTTCCTGTGCCTGCGCAGGGTGGGAGCGGCACTGTACCTACGGGAGGTGCCCCAACCTCTTCGTTTTCTGCTAGACCTGAACACTGTGGGCGAGGCACTGTACCTTCGGGAGGTGCCCGCACCGGCAAGGCTTCCCCCGTGGCCGAAAAAGGCGAGCCTCACACCCCAGTCGACCGTCAGCACAGTGAGAGAGTCGTTGTCGTGACTTCGTCGCCCCCTGGGGTTCGCAACGATGATGCTGGTGGCCTAGTGAGTGTGGTGGACACCCTCGCCCAAAAAGTTGACGAGGCGCCTCCGGTCTGTCCTAACGAGTGGGGACATCGATGGAGGCGACTCTGACTAAAA